GGAGGTCAGGTATAAGACAAACATGTGTATTGAAACCCGGTGTACTTTGACGCGTGACTCATAAATGCATATGGCACGTGTGTGCCGAGTGATTCCCACCCACTATGTATTTACCAACGGCGCCTCGTGAGGACGGCCTAGCGTTCACGATTCTGTCTGATCGTTGGTTGGACGAACTTCCGTTCCTCTGCTTCCGGTTTCTGAAACTTACCTTTTCTTTTTCTGCGTCTGCGTCGTTTGACACTTCAGTTTCCTTTTCACACGCTCTGCAATGAAATTACACAGCCGTTTTAATATCGATTTTGGTTCCAGCCCTAAAACAGCAATTTCTCAATAAGTTATTTAACAACATGTGGACTTGTTATTCTCGCGTGAAGTGTGACGGTCCTTATACAAAACAAACAAGGTCTATAATCTTGAGTGAAAATGCACAACAGAACTTGTCATCAATGTCAAATCATTACGCTCGGCCACAAATCCCAGACAAATGTACTCTTTATGGCCTCAAAAACACAGAAAGGATGTACGTCAAATGACTTGATTTGCATATATACTACCTTATTATAGAGCTCTGAAATAACCCATCTTTTCGGTGTATAGGATTAATGATATCTATAATCATTCTGACTGAATATATCATTGTATATCAGGTCACGTTTATCACGTGTTCCTTAGGTTGGCATAAAAGAGAAAAAAATGAATGAACAACACTACTTCTACTTAAAAATGGTTGACTGGTCAGAAAAGGTGGAGTGAATAAGTATACACATCTTAATCCAATCTTCAAAAGCCGATTATGTCACTTCCGCAGGACAAATAATGAGTAATCCCTAACGAGAAACATAAGAGAACGGTACAACTAAGAAGCCCACCGGAGATGACGATACATTTATTCATTGTTAAATATACAGATACTACAGACAGCAAGAATGTGGCTGTGCCGTATGTGTGAATCAGTACAACCATTAATGACGTCTCCTAATAATTGTCGACATGCTTGCGGTTCCAAAGTCGACTATCTATTTATGACTCATCTCAGAAATCTAAATAATAAACGGTATCTCATATGGGTGGGTACGTAAGCCTTCATTTGCATTCCCTAAATATAAAACTATTGTGCGAAACATATAATCTTAGTGATAACTAACACCAGTAATGATGTGAAGCATAAGCAAACACTCTCCCGAATGTTGTGTAAAACGTGGTCTATTGCATACAGAAGATAATGGGCGTTTAATGTCATCCGCTATGAAAACGTGCATACTTAAACAAATACTAACGGCCGGCTCCATAACGATAACGCTTTATAGTTACGTTTTGTGCATGGGATGATTAATTTGCTTTGGAAAGGGATTCTATTTCACACTTACGCACGTTGTGTACAAGTGCCGTCTACCAGGTTCAAAGATGTATATTTTTTTCGCTGGATATTCACAGATATTTATTCATCAGATTTTGTCATTCAGTAGTTGTGACCATTACTGCGCCACCAGGTCCAGCTTTTGGACAACAATGACGTCATCACTCAGCTGACCCCAGGTAGAGATTAGCGTATTTGCGAAATAGACGTCTGTTTCCTTTTTATCGCCACTTCATTCATGCGCTTTATCGTGGTTCCTTCACAACTGCACACAAAGTCAAGTGTTTCAATAAAGTAAATTCTTATTTTTTAATCTACTATATCAATGACAGTTGCCGATGATCTGACGACAGATGACGACACTGTCATGCACGTCCTCATTTCCCATTCCTCGCTATCCTCAGCCTCCATCAAATTCGAAATCATGCGTAAACCCATCACGGAGATCCGTTTATCCTGTCGCCATTTCTTCTCCTTTCCATCTATGCCTAAAAAACATCCCGTGACTACCGTAATTTGACTATTCCGTCGGAGAGGGAGGGGGGGATTAAGGCATATGTAAATATTGAATTAAAATCGCATGTATTCCTTTACAAAGGAATCACGATGAAAAACAAAAGATGCGAATTGTTACAAACATATATCGTGATATAATTAAAAGTGACTGTGCAACCGCAATTTCAGTTAATCATCTTCGACATTCAATCCACTTTGTAACCTAATACAATTTGGGGTTTTCAATCAAACGGATGTGTTCGTAAATGTTCCAATTATTGAAAGAACTACCGTGCCGTTACCTTAAGTGTTACAAATGCAAGGGAATCATCTCAAGGTCATATCATCCTTACAACAAAATGTTTGAAACAAACCGCTTTCTGTATTTTATAGGATAGATTGAATCACAAATTTTAAGAAATCTTTGTTTTCAATTTATCGGCGAGATATCCTCATCGTGACGTATGCATACAGTTTGGGACTGACGTCATTAGCCTGCAACAGTGACGTCAGCAGCCTGTAGAGGCTGGTCGAAGAGGACATGCGTACAGAACAAGGAAAGCAAACGAAGGAGACAGAAAAAGGATATCAAAGTGTCCGTTAGAGAATGTCACGACTGATCATTGATACGATTATATTGTAACCCTGTGTTGTGACGTCGGTGCAAAAAAGGTCTTTCCTTTCTGCGAAAAAATTATTTTATGTTTAGAAGAAGCGAAGTGTTTTCCTAATTCATCGACTTGTAACACCTTTTCATTTCAATTTCTCTGAAAGACCTTATTTAACTGGAAACATTTCTTCTGCTCGAACCACTGCAAGGTGGAAATAACATTTTCTTTGCTTAGGGTAATTATCATACCCTTATGACAACGAATGCACAAGACGGTTAAGATCGCCAATTGAAATATAAAGTGCAGCAATGCCATAGAAAGAAACGTAGATTGGGTTTCCATGCCTAGATCGATCCATCTGGATAGGTCTAACTCCCTGGGGAGTCTCACTAATTTTCTATCAACTAAGCAGCTTAAATGCCTGTCACGCCTACTGAATCAGCTGGGGGGGTAAAGATAATTACCCCCGAACAGCTTTACTTGGCGTGCCAGACATTTAAGCCGGTTTAGTCGTTAGCAATTTAGTAAGACTCCCCAGGGAGATAGCTCTATCCAAATATCTGTGGGAATGGTCCCTAACAGAGTCACATAAACGGAACCTCAGAGCTCGAGTACTTACCTCAATTACAGAGCAGTAAGCAAACTTGCAGAGAAATGGGAGTAAAACACAATGTAGCGTCGTAGGATATGAATCAAGTATTAAACTTTTCAATTTCTACACTAAATTTGGGACAACACAATCACCAAAGTACTGGTGAGCAGTGATCGTCCCATATGACATCACACTGAAGAAGATCACGGATGTGATGAAAAGCTCTCTCAGGTATAGCTCTATTTTTTAGTGCAGAAATTGAAAAGTTTAATACTTGAAACAGTGTAGCGTAATAACATGACAGAATATCTCAAAATGTATCGGTACATCCATAAAGTATAGGCCTTCCGCTCAATGAGAAAAGGACCTTAATTAAAACTAATTATAGTTGATACGCCTTTTCCATCTTCAACTATATTATTATTATCCTACCAATATTTCGGTGGCTATCACGTCTTCTATCTATAGATGAAAGTATTCACAGGTGATTTACATAGTTAATGTTACTATTTAATATGCCCGACTGATGCCGGTTGTGTAGTTGTATCTTGTCACGTAATAACACTTACGTGCTCTCCGTGCCAATGAACTTTAATTTCTTTCATTTTCATTAACTTTTTTTCTTACAAAAAAATGAGTAAGATAAAACGTGACGTGAACATGAGAACAGTGAGTGATTGCGTTTATGCATGGACCTACTGCTCCCCAATAGTCGTAAGTTGTACACCGTACTGAGGTATGTATTGAAGGGCAAGTGTACAAAAACTAAAAATGCAGTAAAACACCGAGACGCCTGAAGACCAAAATGATTTCTTAGCGCCACGCCTTTCTGCAAGTAAAAAGGCAGGTCTATTCACAAACGTGTTAGGCGACAATGGATTCCAGGTGGGCCATTGCCTTTGGCGAGGCGGAAGGTACAGTGAGCTGGTAAATCGTATTAAATCTATAGCCCCCCCCCTACCTACTCTTTCCTACACGCAGACCAATCGTTTCCCTTTCCAGGACTTTTAAAAGCTCCATTCCGATTCTCCGCCTCGTTCCATAGGTCTGTGTACACTGCTGTTGATATCAACGACGTAGGTCGTGATAGCAGTAAGCAGGGGCAGGGGTGGGGGGCATTTCCAACAGTGAAGCCTTCCACTTGATCGATCCCAAAATCCCCTCTTCTAATCCTCGAAGTAAGTTCTTCAAGCAGGATATAGGCCTTGTCTCCCACTCAGGATTCAATCTGCGATGTTAAAAGTCGTGTCATTCCGTCGAACCGTACAGCTACCTCAGTGAAAAAATCCTCAACGCGGAGACTCTTTAATCTTTAAGTGTGACACGTATTTCGAGACCGCAGTGGCGCGAAATCGCATAATAAAGACTTAAAAACTCACGTATTCCCCGCCCCTTCTACAGGTGCTCCCGTGGTTTCTTGTCCAGAAAGAGCCTCCCAGATATTTCGTTGAGATTGCTGCGACATCTTCCTTATGGTTAACCTAGGCAACCGTCATGTTTCAATAGAGGGTGCACGCACTGTATCGTCCGTTGCTTACAGCATGACGATGTCGGCTAAAATAAACTCATATACCTCCCCTTTGGGAGAATATTAATGGCGATCTTCGCTTAAGTTGCGACACGAACTTGTTTAGGTTGATATCTTTTCACATGTTGTATTGTAAACAACACAGGTAAGCCACATGTCATGGTTTGTAGAATATCATTGATATCAGTTATAACAATGTTCCTTTTCCGATAAAGGAAGAGTTTGCTACGAGTTAACTATAAACGCTCACAAATATAGACTTTTACAAATTCTCCCAACCTTCACCCGGAACGTGTATCGAATAATCAACAATGGCGGACGTCGTGCACAGTGTGGCTATCTCCGTGTGTTTGGTATTTTTTCTAGTAATAGGTGAGTTGTCCAGTTATATCGACGGTGTCAGATAATCAGGTTGACTTCCAAAAGCTGTGCTGTAAGTGGATTTCGCCTGAATTTGTTTGTAGACGGAGAAATCAAGAAAGGTTCGCTGAAGGTCACCGGCTCGAGCGTCTCAACATCACATGACGATCGATCACAAGAATGGTTTTACTGCAAAATGATGTTTTGGCGAGATGAAAAACTACCATTCTAACACTGAAGTTGCAAATTGGGGTGGTTATAATGAAATCCTTAGTGATTTTGTTCTGATTACTTGTTTTGCGCTTAAATTAAGCTATCAGCACGGTAGCTGTCACTAAGGTGTCTGAACTCGGCACAGTTACGTGTACTCAGTTAGCCTTTCAACTAATAGTGCGATGTATGCTGCTGCTTGGAAGGGATGTTTCACCATTTGGGTCAAATAAACACACACACATTGTATATGGAATAATATGAATAGTTCGATCTGATTTAGTTAATGTCTTTGGATATAACATATCAAAATCAAAATAGTATTTTATGAAATGAGACTCTCTCTTTATCTTCATCTTTCTCTTGTTCTCTCTGTCTCTTTCACCCCATTTCCATAGATTAGATCGACCTACTTTAGATCGACCTAACTCCCTGGGGGTTCACGCTAAATAGCTGTCAGCCGGGCGGACACGAAAGTTAATTACCCCCTTACAGCTTGTAGTAGGCGGGACAGACATTTAAGTCGGATTATCTTAAAGTAATCTAGTGAGACTCCCCGCGGGGATAGATCGATCTAAAATCTATGGGAATAGAGCCTTTTTGTGTGTGCAGTATCTGAGAAGGAACCCCCCAAAAAATCTATGCCTCATATGCATAAAATGAGTACATTAACTGCTGCAGACACTGGAGACATGAGATTGGGCGATCAGCATTTTGTATCAGTAGATTTCTTGCTTGTATTGATAAAATGATATCATCTTGATATCACATGTGAAACAATGGAACAGGATGAATACTGTTCATCATGGTAAATCAGATTTAATGTGACAGGCTTACCAGATACACTTCCACAATCGTACAAAATAAATTGGCACATGAAAAGGAAACATGAAATAGTAGATTAAAGGTATTAATTTACAAATGTATTAAACGTAGATGTAGTGGATTTGAACCATGATCATTTATATTACTGTAGTTGACTAGAGTTACTCAAATGAGCAGATATTGGTAGTATTGGAAGAGGAGTGTACATACATGCCTTCTTTGCTTGCATGCCCCTCCCACCTTGCAAAAAAAAAAAAAAAAAAAAACTTTGAAGTCACCATTTGATAATATTTTCAGTTCAGTTAGCAACTCAGTGAAAAAAAATTCTGAAATATCCCTCCTCACTGTGTCATTACAGGCTGCCTAAGTTCCAGTGATTTTCTTGTTCTCCATGCTCCAAGCACTGTGCAGTTCCTGCAGGACCCAGGTAAACTTCAGCTCAGTGAGGTACCAGATGTCATATCTCTTACCTATGGATTCACAGTAAACAGGGTAAGGTGTATGGAAAACAGGGGCATTGTATCTCTAAATTAGGAAAGGTATATTTCCATCTTGTAAATTTGAAAGCTGTCTGAGGACTTTTCATTGTTTTCATAGTTTTTTTTTTAATTATTAAGTTATCAGTATCTTATTGAGATGAAAATTAAAGAAATAGACCATTGATAACTTATTAAGGAGTTTGGCAGGGTTTCTTAGGGAGTGTGTGTAAGTGGGAGGGACTTGGAGGGGTAAAGTTGAGCTGTTCACCTGTGCGTAAATACTGTTGACATCTGCTTAGAACACAGACTTGGAAAAAAGTAACTGATCACCATATACTATGCAAAAAAATGGAATAGTAGATCAGTCTTATACCTAGTCTAGTGTAATTTGGTCTTCTAAAAATGTCTGCAAATAATTCCGTGCCTAGCTTGGACAGCTGAAGTTGTGAGCATCCATGAAGTGATTCATCCTCAACTTTCATTTTTATTTTATATCATATCACTTCATATAGTTTTTATGACCTTATGTGGCATAAAATATATATAAACTGACCTATGTTATTTACAATGCTGGCATAATTTATGCATCATTTATTTTATTTCATGTAGCTCGTGTAAAGCCAAGGTTAATGCAGTTAGTGTCAACAAGTGCATAAATATATGGAATAGTTAAGTGTTTTTGTGGAAGCTGAGTCACTGTGGAGGTGATCTCAAACATTTACATTAAAACAGCCAGTAAAAGTTATGCTTGTATTTACTGGGTGCATGTGACAATTGTCATACAGTGTCTAGAAATAGGCCCTGTTCCCATAGACACCATTGATCTATGTAGATCGATCCAACTCTGCAGGGACTCTGGCTGAGTGCAATCAGCTTAACTGAATGACATGCCTCCTGGTGTTGAGTTCAGTACAGAGAAGCTGATAACGAGTATGTTGGAAACAAGAAGAGACGTGTCATTCGGTTAAGCTAATTGCACTCAGAGAGAGTCCTTGCAGAGTTGGATCGACCCATGTAGATAAATGGTGTCCTTGGAAATGGGGATAGATTGTTATAGGATTTGTGTTGTTTGGGATGTAAAGTGTTAATGAAAGAATATGTAATATTTAGCCAGGTGCTACAAATAATTTGAGTTACATACGTTATTGTGAAATGAAGAAAAATTCATATATTTATTTACAAGTTTTGTCAGATGCTACTAGATATTGTTTTGCTTCAATGGAAGTATTTCCTAATTGTTTGTTTGTTTATTTTTGTGTTTTATTAATTTGTGTCCAAAACATATTATCAGGTCAGAGGGCAGAGTCCCAAGGATTGAAAATAAATTGATTCTAACCCTATATCTCTATTTTCACGTGGTAATCATTTCAGGATCTCAACTTCCAAGGCCTTGCTGCGGGCAGCCTGTTCAAACGGCCCAAAGCCAATGTACTGATAGCAGTGGACGGTTTCACAGAGAACTCCCCCTCACTAGAGACCAAACATGGAGCCAAAGTACCACTAGACTTAGTAAGTCAGTATGAGAGATGTATTCTGGGAAGTGTGCACATTGGGTGCCAATGTTTTTACTGCCAGGTTGACTGTATTTCTGATGGTAGTTATAATGTCAGTCAATTGATAACATGAGAATTTTATTTTATTTTTTTTATTTGTTTATTTATTTATTTATTTTTTTTGTGTGTGTGTGTGTTACACAGACTCATTGCTTTGAGACCCTCAAGTCAGGTGATTAGCACAGTATTAACTGATGGAATACATGTGTTTATCAACTTGATTAATATGACCTTGTTCACACATTGTTTTGTCTGCTTTCTGGGGTAAATCTTGAAATAGATTTAGCAGTTATGATTTCTGAAGCCCCTCTGTTATTCCCGCCATCAATATGCTCCTGACTTCTATTAATAATTTTCATCATCGTATGTTGTTTGTCTTCTTGGCTGTATCCATGATTTCTGGACAAAATGTAAGACTTCTTTACTAGTGTGGTATCAAGCTAAGCAGGTGATATAGTAATCACTCAAATCTGTTTCAACAACTGGAATTGAAAGTTTTCCCAAAAATGTCATTGGTAATAATATGTAAAATGTAGATTCAGGAGTTCCTAAAAGTTGTTTGGTTTTGTGTGAAAAAAAATACATTGAGTGTCTGAAAATGGTAAATCTTGAAAAAGGAGTGAAAATGTGGTGTGTGAAGAGTTTTGATAATTGTGGTAAAGGATTGTGCATTAAACTTAGGTATCTGCCAGATTCAAAATGATACATGAATCTTGAGATTGTGCTAAAACTGATACAATATGACTTATTGACACTTCTGTCTTTTTTTTAAATTTGTTTTTAGTTATTTATTTTGATTTTCATTTAGAATTCTTAAAGACTGACTTCGTTTAAGTTTCAGCTATGGGTTTTTAATGTGAATATTCTATGAGTGAGTGCTTAGCTAGACTGCAGTTAGGTACAAACTAATGATTACCTAATACAGTGGTTAATGGACTATATTTTCCCATGGCAATGGGAAGACAGGAGATTAACACTGATGATTTAATAGGTGTAGTTGCTGTTGTACCAGTGCCCGTGGAAAGTGTGGAAAATTTATGTGTGTGAAAAGAGCAAAATGCCTTTTATGGGTAATGGAGTGGGAATATAAGGGGAGGCAAAGTTTTTTTTAATTGCACTAGATATTGTATCTTTTTTATATATTCATTTAATTTATTTCTTTATTCATTATTTCATTTTTTGTTTATTATTATTATTATATTTGAATAGTGCAAACCATGTAATCATTGCTCTAGATAGGAACTATGAATTCAGAAGGTGGTGTGAATTACACTTCATTTTTATTCAAAATGAATTTCTTTAATGGACTGTAGCAAACAATTTTTGAGCAGAGCAATTTAATAAAAAAAAAAAGAGAGAGAGAGAGAGAGAGAGAGAGAATGAATACAGATTTATCGATTCTTTTTCAAGATCTTTTTTATTTTCCACGAATGGGGAGATGTGTATTTGTTGGGTTGAATCCCCCCTCCCTCTCTCTCTCACTCACACTCTTTCTCTCCCCACCCCCACCCCCTTTCAAACACAGCAAATGTACTTAGGGCTCTTATTGCAGAACTATTTGAAGGCTTTCCTAGTGAAACTGTGTTACAAAAACAGGACCAAATCAAATAAACTCCGGCTTCCTGTTATCTACAACCAGACGTCTATATGCTTTTTACTTTCTAAGATAATGGAATTAAAAGATAATATTGTGTCATAGCAGTAACTGCCAAGGAAAAGCATTGTTTAAATCTTGCCGTAGTTTTTGTTACCCTCATGTCAGAGGAAGGTCACAAGATACATATCCATTATCTTAATATGCTGGTTGATTTTTTTTTTCTCAGTTTGTTGATTTAAAGTGTATTGATGTAAAAGATATGATAGTTGGATGTATTGAGGAGTGTTTTAGAGATGAAGACAGTCGTTGAATAATGTGTGGTACATACCAGTATAAAGACAGGACGCATACTGGAGCTGATTCTGAGTAACCAACCCCCTATATTACTGGGTATTTAAGAGAGACCCTCGGTGCTTACTGGTGCTATTCTGTTGTGATTAAGGCTTTTGGCCATGGATTTATGCATTTTGAGTATTGTCATGTTGCTTATTTTCTCTTCACCCATGCATTTGTAGCATAGAGAAATAATTACAGTATTGGGATATTATAAAGAAGGTATAAACACTCTGCATGTTATATCAGTCTATATTATGACAACTTATCTACTGCCAATCTCTGAACTCTGTAATGTGAAATGAATATGATGATTAATTTTTAAATATGCAGGGTAGACAAATGAATTTGGAATGAAGTTTTTGACAATTATTTTTCTCATCTTTGTTTCAGGATCTTCCTATCTACAGCACAGAGCGTGTAGTCAGCAATTTACAGAGCAGCTTCTCGCCAGAGAGGAGACCCTTCATTGTGGACCTCTCTGCGGATAAATCGGTAAATATGACCATCTCAAACAGAACTTATAAAATATCCAACTTCCTGGCTTGGGGGGAGGGGGGGGGGGGGTGTCTTGTCACCAGAGGGCTATGTAAGCCAAGCTGGAAGTCACACCGGTGTAACAGGAATGGAAGTCCGCTAGCTGTAGTCAGCTTCCCTTTACTTTGCACAGGTGACATTCGTCCCATATACTAACCCCAATATTCCAACTAATCCTAACAATTCCTACTGGTAGGACTTCCATTCCTGTCGCACCGGTTTCAATAAAAATAATTACAAAAGCAATAATAGAAGTAAGACAAACGAAAATCAGTCTTTAAACAAAGATGTGTTAAACTGAAAACCCATAAAGATTCGCAGTGGCTCAATTAATGTAGGTACTGATCTTAAACAAGAAGTTGTAAGGTCTTTACAACTTCTTGTCTTAAATGAGCCATGTATTTCTTATGATAACAACAGGCGCAATATAGAGGACGACTACAAGTTTATTTGAGATCAAAGTAGACTTTTTTATGTGGTGACGTGTCTTTTTCCACTGTGAGAGCATGTACAAACAAATTACAATAAGGGTAATGCATATACATATAAATGAATATCAGAACCAGTTGGTCTCAACGCCTGTGGCCATTGCTGCAAGGAGTGACAACCACGTGCATCGTACTATGTTCTGTCTACGTAATCCCACTACGGGCCACGTCGGTGTAGCGTGCCCTGGTAATGGCTCCCAGCTCTATTTTAACTTCTTTTTTTTTTTAGATAGTAGCTGTGTGGAAATGGTTTGCTTCTTGGTTTGCGTCTACAACTTGTTAAGCGTGTTTATTAATTTTCCTTTTTGTGAAATGCTTTCTGAGGGGTTTAGATCAGGCTGAAAAAAAAAAAGCTTCCAACTTTGACAAATAATTGCAATAATAATAATTGCGTCTATTCATTAAAAGTTTGACTTTATTTGTTAGAGGCGTATCCCTTACAATTCCCATCGTTTTAGTTTTCGTAGCGCCTGTGAAAAGTGATAAATCAAATAAACTGATAAAGATGAGTGTTACAATAAAGATAAAAACGGGAAAGCATTAGATAGCTTTTAAACTGTAGCTTTAACTAATGTTTACATCCGACTGAAATAAAACATGGCGGCGCCTGCTGACGATTGTGATAAATATAATCTATTAAGGGGATGAATATGTCTACCTAAGACTTCTTCGATGCGGCTCCGCTGGTAAAGAATTGTCTGCGTCACCGTCATGATCAGCTCAGTTTCATAATCAATAGAGTGGATGGGTGTGTGACATCCGTACCGTTGGTTGGCCCTAATATGATATGAAATCATGTGAATCCGATAGGTATTTTTATTTGGATTCTCACGTTTATGAAATGAAGTTTAATTCTTATTTTGGACATTCCTCACGTGTTTTATTTGTTTGAACTTCCTCCACATAAAAGCTGTCTGTGTGTGAGATAACGTATTTTATTTAATATTTGTATGCTGATTCAGTTTTAGTGTGCATCAGAACGACACGTCGACACGAAATACCCATCTTAACCACACTTATATCGCGTTTTTATTCATTTTTCCCAGGATGACTAATGTTGGCTTCACGTTTTGTATTCTTTCAAATTACTTTATCCAAATGCAATTACTAGATCAGTGTTTGAATAATAGGATCCTGGCCGTATCTTGCCATCAGAAGCTGATTTGCATGATCTTGAGTAATGATTTAGTTGTTACTGCAGTTGAAATGCTATAAACATGAAATATGAAAGATGTAAACAATGTTGATCAACATAAAATACGCTTCATATTGGTTTCGAAGATAATCTCACTTGCTCTTATTTGTCCACATTGTTTTTAACGTGGTACCACTCAACCCAAAACTTCATCAAATAAAATAACATACTGTAATTTTATGTTTTGCTTAAACTTGGTCTCCCTTATTACTGTTGTGTAGGTTATATGTCAAGGCGTTGCATGTTGATTCTGCCCTTTAACGCAGCAAGAAATAATCACCGGATGCCTGAAGAACAAATAAACGGAATCTCTTTTTTTTTTTCCAGATATTCGATCTTCGCTCTCTTTCTGGGGAAATATTCCGAGATCTTCCAGTAACTGCAGACAAGATAGGACAACTACTGACGGGTAAAACCTCTCTCCTTAACCGCTACGAAGTGGGGAGCCTTAACAGTAGCCGCGACGCTGACCGCACTCTCCTCTCTGAGCTGCAATTAATAGAAGAAATAATGAGCAAGGTGATTAAAAACTTCACCATAACTGGTTCATTGATGTATTGTTATCAGCATTGAAGTCCTCACTTTCTTATTTATTTATTTATTTATTTATTTATTTATTTATTTATTTATTTATTTTTATAAGTGACCAGGAATGATATTCCGCATCAGAACCTATTTTGCATATATTTTACGAAACATGTTCATCTTTATTAAACCTCATTAAGTCGCAAGTTACATTACATTAAGATCAGGTTATGAAGTACAGAGCGGATTACCCATATTAAGACGGGAAAAAAGAGAGAAGAATACGGGGGAAATTAATATCAGAAAATGATGTCGTTTTAAACAAATCTCCTACCCACCGTCTTGCAATTTCCAGGTTTCCAAGAATGCTGCCCAGATCCAGGACAACGTTCCCGACTTCTACAGTTTTGCCGTGTCCGGGTACCGGGCCGTTGTTGACCAGTATGGTGACCAGTCCGAGCAGGCCAGAGACGCGGCCCACTTGATATCTAAGTATTTGGAACAGGTAATTTTATTTATTTATTTATTTATTTATTTATTTATTGGCTAGTGCAGCAGGAATGTTACTCGGCTGGGAACTGTGGCCCATTTCCCATTAATTTTGTACTTTGCACAGGTGACATTCGTCCCATATACTGCCCCTGCCTCGATACTCCTTGTGTAACGAAACTGAGGGTCCGTGTAACAGAAAGTCTGCCCTCCATTTAGATATAAAAGATAAGGTTAGCTTGAGTGGGTCAAAATCTAGGGCGAGGCTTACCTGTACAAATGAATGGGAAGTGGACTGTATCATGGGGGACTCTCTGTCACGCTACACCGGCTTACCCTAACCAGTGCAGACCACAGGGACCTCGGACTTAAATTGCTAGGACAGGTGAACCTTTCAAACGTGGCCCAAGCTCATTCTAGAATACAAAAAGAAATAAAAATGTTTTGTTAAGTCATAATTTAAGATGTGTATGTTTTAAATGATCGTCTAAAACTGATGACAAAATCGATAGTCGTCGTTAAGTACTAGAACATGAAGCAGTTTTACATTCTGGACATGAGACACACAATATCGATTTTCCTCGATTTATTTTGCTCAGGAATCTAAATATACTGTGTTATGAAGTGTTTGTTCGTGCCGTGAAAGCCGAAAAATCAATAACTGTATCACTTATTGAAAATAACATCATACGTGTTTGTTCAGACCCGCGTGTTATGAAACAAAAAAGTTCGTGGCCGCATCCGACCTTGGGCTGCATTTAGAACAGCAGACTTACTAGTCCGCGGGCCAAATATGGCGACCGACTAAAAAGCTTGTCGTCAAATCGGCTAATAGACACGGAATAGATTCCGGGGGATGGGGGGGGGGGGGGGAGTATTCAAGTGGGTCGGCCATATTTGTCCCGTGGGCTAGTTAGTCCTCTGTTCTGAATGCGACCTTATATGCAACCAATTTCATTTCGACAAGACGAAAAGTAAGGTTGTAAACATTAGGGCGTTGTTTTATCATAGTGATTTTAATTTTTGTATGTATTTAAAGTTATAAAGCCTTACGGCTGAGATGTAATGTGACCATGTTTAGAACTTGAGTTTTGTGTTTTTCAGTTGACAGATCGTTTCAAGGCGCTGTACAGAGACAGCGTGGTGGTAGAGGTGGTCACGCTGCCAAGTCTGCGCCAGGCTCTGGCTAGGAAGACTAGATCTCTGTTAGCAACTCAGGTACCTTACGCATCGTGAAGGCTTTGTCACACCTGGCGTTTAACACCAACGTGTGAAATAATTTGCCCATACCGTACGCAGATAAATGCAAATGGCTCGTAAGACCTACCCGGAGAGAATGAGAGAGAGAGAGGGAGGGAGAGAAACTGTTTTGAGCAGGTCTAAAAACAATTCTGTTCGGTGCTTGTAAAAACGGGTGATTTTATACGCTCAAAGTTGTGCGTGCAATCGATTTTACACACGATACTCGTATCTCTTTACACTAAGTGAGACAGAAGCATAAAACAGTGGCGCACTGTTACAGGTACGTGTTCCCCTGTGATACGTATTCACACGCGCACGCAAACTTCTTCGACGCACCTTGCATACAACTCTTTGTATGAGAAATTTTCGATACATTTCGTGTTGTAGTACACCTACATACACACACTAAAAAAAACAGTCCGATGAAGAAAAGAAATAAAAGGATAAAAACATTTGCGACTGTCTGGTGTGTAACCGCATTTAACCGCAGGAATTTGTGTTAATGCATCAAATTAGGAAATTAAACGCCAGGGGATGAAGTCATTTATTATTTTTTATTTGTGGTATTTCTTGTGACTAGAGACGTGTAACATTTTGTCAAATTAATTGCTGTCTGTAACGAACCAGAATGTCGTTGAAAGAGCAAACCTCACTTAACAACATTTGCCCTTTATCAAATGGCACTGCATGTTTTGCTGATAGGTTTGTTTTGCAGAAGTATAGGTGTTTCTTCAGTTTTGAATTCGATCTGTTTTTAGTTTTAATAGGGATTATAAGGTCATTAGCAAAGTACATTTTCTAACCAGTGATAGACAAAGATAAGGCATAAAAGACTGGAAATGCACTTCCCTGTTTGTGGACACCTCCTTTGAATTAGTAGCAACATTTTTGGCTTTTCCTTTCTCGATGACGCCATTCCACGTCGACACATGTACTAGTTGGATCGGCCCAACTCTGCGGGAGCTATCGATAAGTGCAATCAGCTTAACTAGATGATATGCCTCCCCCAGCTAAGGAGCGATTAACTTTCGTGTGCGCTCGGCATAATTACTGCCTTAGCTGCTCGAGGAGGCGTGTCAGACAATATTAATCTGATTATACTGATTGCACTAAGCGAGAATGCCCCGAAGAGTTGGTCTGATGCTTGCTCCCTATTTCGCTGAACGTTAAACGCAAGTAAATCGTTATCCTAGTTGAAATTTCAACGAAAACATATTCGTTGGACTGAACCCAAAACTTCCTCCTTCCAGGTCGGGGAAACAGAGGAGGAGAAGTACAACCTGGCCAGCGTGTACGACGAGAACTTCCCGGTCATCTTTAACATCTGGGTGTGGTTCATGATCTTCTTCTTCCTGGGCATTTACGGCATCGTGTACACGATGATCTACATGGACCCCGGCAAGGACAGTATCATCTACAGGATGACCGCTACCAGGATCAAGAAAGAATAATCGGGGAGACCTAGCCGCGTTTAGACCTATCGGTGTGGATCTGGGGCATAGTGAATCTAAAGTAACAGGCTGGTGGTTTTGGTTGAGAGATGTAATAACAGTCTTCTCTGATGTGTCTAAACGTGACAAGGGACGGGGGAGTCAGGCGTTATTGCAAAGAAATCAGTATTTTTTGGAATGATAATTGTAATTGTTTCTTGTTGTCGTGGTGACAGCATGAATTTGTTTCACTAAAGAGGAGACGGAAACGTTTGTAAAGGGATGTAAAATATGTGGAGATTTATTTATTGAAAGAACATGACCCAATTGCACGTTAAGACGTTACATTACTGCAGCAAACACGTCACGATGGGATTACGTCATAACATATATCTTGGTATCACGTGGTCAGAGCGTGACGTGTTTACTAGTCCAGAACAGATTTGGCAGCATCTTGAGGCTATGGTTCTAGATTCCAGATGTCGTACTTTGCTAGCGTCAGTACATGTGTGTGTACCGACAAGCGGATCTGCCTAACGAAGCATTCATTAGCCAACGAATTCTCGTCTCAAGGTCCATAAACAATTATCTCTCTTTAAAAATTTTGGGTAAACTTTACGGGCGACTTGGCAAAGACAAATCACTAGTAGCGCATGAGTGTTTTGTATATTGATCCCAATCCAAGTTTCCCAAAACATTTCGAAACTTCCTATTACATATGATTTTTTCAATGTCGTCTACTTACTGCAAATATCAGGTGATAAAAGTAAGCAAATGATATAAGTGTGCGTGTCTCACTTTAAAATATGTATAAGTTGATGATGATTGTAGAAAAGTGTGCACATTTTTGATGATAGTAACTGGCCCAGCAACGATTTCGGTTTTCTTTGTAATTTTTGTCTGCCAGTTTGGAAATAGCAGTCGACTATATGATATGTACTTTAATCTCTGCCCAGGTAAGAAATCATTACATAAGAGCACTAGTCTATTTCTAGTTTCACCTATGTCTAGTTTCGCACAAAAAATGAGTCGAAAAAAATTTTTTCTGCTTCGTTATGGAGTAAAGAGAGTGTTTTTGGTCAATCAAAGGGCATCAAGGAATATCTTTGCAATCCAACTACATATTAGCAAATACTTCAGTTTTTCTATGGTTTAAAAGTGAATTATGATTATTTGTTGCATTAAATGTTAAGTCAATCATGTTAATCAAATAAGCACAGTGGTTGCACAATGCAGTAGCACTCGCATGTAGGGGCAAGGTGCACTGGTATCAAAACAATTGGCGTTGATCATAATTATAATGGCAGCGGGAGGGGTTTTCATTGCCCGGGTTTCGTAGTTTTAAGGTTCTAATATCGTTGCGTATATCTACAGTTGTTACCCCGAGTTTTGTCGTTCTGACGCGACATGGCTTTGGGAAATTAAGTCAACATCAAATTCGGATGACCGCTGTGGCATGTGCATTTAGTCGATAACAGTGTGTTTGGGCCTGTGTGAAAGGAATACGAATCCTTCGCTCTGAAACCCTGGCTATATATTGTACACTACTTATGAGTTAACACAAAGCAAATACTGAAAAGCAATAACTGTGATACAAAGGTTGACGTACGTATCTAATAGCATGGTTATCATTATTATTATTATTACCATATATAATTATTGCCTGGGCACAGTTTTGTCAGCAGCTTTAATGAAATATTACATTTTGGTCGAGGTTTTGGGATTGCAATAAGGTTTAAGTAATGACATGATTTGGGATCCACAACTTGTTCATAAAGGGTCACTGTATCACTTTCAATTGTCAATCGTGGTAATGGAGGACCCTTTCAAATATTACTTAGTTTGTAATGAGGTAGTATTTCAAATTTATCCTAGCTGTTATTCATGAAATATCAAAAGGTGTGAATTTTTTGTAAATAATGTATTCTAAATGTGCAATACCGCTTATGTCTTGTACTTTACTGCGTTGCTAGAGCGCTTAGAAAGTGATGCTAGGAATGACGAAAATTGCAAGTTAGACGCTAGATGGCAGTGTGTGTGACTGAAGTATAGACACTAGGTGGCACTAGAAGACAGGTCACGTGTGACTTACCAATGTTTATTTCAGTTTCAGTGTATTGATGTACATTTCAGGTTAAGGTTCGTTGAGACATTCCATTGAGGATCCCATGTAAAATATTCAGTGTACAGTTAAAGAAGGTGTTCAGCATGTGTAAACTTTCGCACATCGGGTAGTGTGTGTTGTTGATCACCATGTACTTACCTTGTATACAAGCCAATAAAGAATTTAAACCGAGTTTTGGTTTTCATTGCTAATTTGAGATATGTTTAGTCTTTTGCTATTAATTATTATTATTATTATTATTATTATTATTATTATTATATAAGATTTATATTACTGATCGCGCGCGTTCAAATATTCTAATTTTTTTCTTTAAAAGAAACCAGTCACATTTAATAGTAATTTTTTTACAGTTTATTTATATTGGGGGGTACCCCATTTGTTTAAAATTAATGTCAACGTAGACGTATTGAAATCGATAGCCTAGCACAACGCCTCTCCTCTGCTCTATGGAAAGGCCAGTTTCCATGCTATACTTGCAGCTCCCTCTATTGAAAAGAACCGGCAGAACAGTGGAAGTTCGTTCTCGGTTCACCCTGGTTACATGTCTCAAACACGCACGATGTGCCTAGTGACTTTTACGAAATGAAATTGAAATAATTGTATTTTTTTGCGGCAATCTCCAGCACAAAAGAGCTTTTGTCTAAAACTTTCTATGGAGACTTTGTCACACACTGGTTCTAAGGTTTCAGTCTGAAAATCAATAACAATTTCCGGATTACGCAAGATTTTATTTGTCGGGGACCCTTAAGATAAGGATAGGCCGAGTAATATGTTTTTCTGTATGAGAATCCCCTGTGATTCAGGATCCTGTAACTTGTCCTTTATAGGCCTACGTGCCATTCTATGGCATTGCCATACTTAATATTTTAAGTGGAAAAATATCCAAATAAGTAAAACCGAAAGATGCCATTTGTGCTGTTTCAGTATAGGAAGCCACTTTCAGTTATATGAAAAGGGTAAAAATACCCCCCAATCCCCCCTCAGTAAGCCTACTGAGCTCTACTTTTGTTCTGTTATCTATCTAGTTCGTATTTTTAAAATAATTTGGAATAAAGTACATTTTGTTTTTAAAAGAAAAAGCGTTGAGATTTCTGGGATAATCATTTTTGCTATATAAACAGCCTTTAACGTAGGGGAGAGCGGGGTTGGTTGGAACAGTTTTCACCTTTTTTGCGATATCTCAGCAGTCAAAGCTTTGGGGACAAAAATAAAAAATCTGATAGGGGAAAATTATATGCCGCACTCATCTATGAAATAAAACATCAAGTAGGTCTTTTCATTTAAGAGCAATAAATGCTCAAAGTTGCCTCCTAAAACGTTCCATCTCACCCCACCCACGGGGTGAGTTGGAACAGGCAGTGGGGTGAGTTGGAACAAGAGGGCGAGTTGGAACGCTTGCATATAAATTCAAAGTATA